AAATTCCATTCGTCGCGAATCACACCCGCCAGTAGATCGGGATCGCCACATGTCGGCTTGCCATTGACTTGATTATACGAGCACATCACGCTAGCCACATTACCGTCTAGAACACAACTCTTGAATGGTGGCTGATATGTATCATCCAAATCCTGCTTTGTTACCTAACTCAAATAGAAATTTTCCGATTTACTGATAATACGCGAATAAAAATACGAAAAAGAGAAATTCGTGGCCAAACCAAACCAAACCAAACCATACCACGGCATTGAAAGTGAACCTGTGGACCCCAGCCCAGTTATCCAAATCGTAAGCCGTGTAGTGTTTACAGCAAGCGGCAACCTTGAGTTTTTCTTTGTCATTATTATCATCAGTTTCTTGCAAGCCTCTCACATAAGCCGCACCATATTTGCTCGAGAGAAAAGGGTCCTCACCAGGTGTTTCTTGGCCCCGGCCCCACCTGGGGTCACGGAATATGTTGACGTTTGGGGACCAAAAAGTCAAACCGGCTTGACCAACATTGTACATTGCTCGTGCTTCTGTCGAAACCACCTGCATTGAAGTAAAATCAATTAATATAAGATAAAAGTTTCGATTTATAATCAATACTAGTACGAATCCCGTGCTGGGTAGGAGATATTTATTAGGGAGATTAGATACCATATAGTAACACCTTTCTAGTTCTTATATAAATAATTAAATATTTGTTTATTTTAGTTTTATTTTCTTTAACTAATACGAATCATGTGCTATGCAAGGGTAGGAGATATTTATTAATATTTATAAATTAAAAATACACATTAAATAATATTTATAACTTAAAAATATGGAATCAATTGTAATACAATTCACTTATATTAAATTTATTGAAAATGTTATATGAAATTTAAATTGTGCAAAATTATAAAAAACATGTCTATTTAAAATTAGTACACAACCCGTACGGTGAACGTAACTGATAATAAATTACAATATAATTTCAAAATAAGTGTCATTTTAAAATTTTCATTCAGAAATTCAATTTAACTACAATGTAATTCCATAAAATAATAATTTTGATAAAATGTTATGAATATTAAAAAATCTATGTGAATAATAAGTACAGTTATAAAACTATATTATTTCATTAATTAAATTGAATTTATTTTTGTTTAAATTATCTAAATAAAAAAATTAAGTAGTTGAGTAATTTATTAAACTATAAATAATTGATTATTCTATTTACGTCCAAGTTAATACTAACTCGTAAGTTATTAAGAATAACTTATTTGACTTTTAAATTTGGAAACAAAATTTAGACTACACAATAAATTCTTTATACATATTATCTCTCAAATTTTTAGATTTTTTTTCGGTTACCTTATTGTTCAAATTTATCAACCAATTCTCTAAAATTAAATTACAAATTTTAAATTTTATTAACTAATATTTGTTCAAAAATCTTTCTGATATTCAAAAGGAATACATATCAATTTGAAAAATTATCATCAAAATCGTGTTGGTTGATCAAATTTTTAAGGGAAATGATGTACATATTGTATTTTTTAAACCGTAAAGTTGTGAATTATTTGTAGAATAAATCAATTTGTAGTATATGAAATCCTCAATTTTTGGAATAAATCAATTCGTAGATTTTGAGCCTACATTATATGGAATCCTCAATTTTTGAATTGTTATATTCTAAATAGTTTTATATTAAATAGTCACTATTGTGTGATTTTATGCATCATAACTGACTTATGAACCGACCTATCAAACGTGTTGGGGTGAATCAATGAAGATATTATTTAACAAAATCAGTTAGTACTAATCACATTAATCGTAGTAGTTGGAATCCTCAATTTTAAAAAATATTTGAAGTGATATGTTTTTATCATGTTTAGGAAACTGGTACATTCTTTAATTAAAAAAAAAATTCAATTTGAAACAGAAGACCAACATAATCGGTTAAAAAAAAGGAAGTCAAATATATTGCTAAAATAAAAATATGTTTTCCAAATGAAAAGGAACTTGAATTTATCCGATATGGAAGGAATCTCATCCAAAACATATTGAACTCATCCAAAACATACTGAATTTCGGAATGAAAAAAAAAACAAACTTTCGAAAAAAATTCAAACAAAATATTAGAGGGAAAAAAGTGATTTGAGCGGTAAAATAGAATAATTTTTCAAACATTTTTTCTTCTCTCTATTATATAGTAATAGATGGCAGGGTTGTTGTTATCTTATACATTGACAGCTTGAATTTTCTATAAATGTACCATTTTGGAAGAACAACTGTGACAATTAACCTGAATAGGATATGGCATTGTGTTAATTAATTGCTTTTACCAAAGAAAGGCTGAAGCATTAAGCATTTTGG